GTCAGGTCGGTCCCAAAGCTCTATATGGCAGCATAAGGATAGCCTTGTCAGGTAGCCTGGTGAGCAAGACATTTGAAAGGCTTGGATTTGTCATTATCGAGCACCGCCGTATACCAAAAACGGCTAACCGAGGGTTTAACAGCCCAAAAATGGTGGTAACATAAATTTTGTGCTTCAAATTGTCTCCCTCATTCCTTCTGAATTGTTCACTCTTGGGCGCATATGAAACATGCTTGGGCGGCTGTCGAATTAATCCAATTTATGCACAAAATACGTACAAGCTTGCGGTAAGAGCATCTTGCACAGAAGTTGGTCAACATTTTAAGCAACAGATGGCACCTCTAAAGACAATGGGAAAGGAAGAAAGAATAAAGTGCTATCGCACTTGTCTGATACCAAGAAAAACAAAAGTAGTTAGATAAATATAAAAAGTGATGCTTTTTGGGAAAAGTTTTGTTATCAGCTGATTTGACTCAAAAGATATTAAAATAAGTGCTCAAATTGTGATATTCATCTTGTAAATTGTATTTAGAAGACATTTCTTAAATTTTTCACTGCTGCATTTCGGGAGTGATGCAAATTAGTGATCACGTTTCTTCGGGTAAAAGAAATACCTGGAGCAAAATTATCTACCAGGCCTTGCTGGTGTTTGCACCACGCTATGTTTTCGTGGTGTGGTGGTGTGACCAAAAAATTGGGAATGCGTGGAAACCTTGCATTTGGCACACTGCCGCCGATTGTGATGCATTTTGTAAACAAACCACCAGCTGCATGGGACGCTTCAGAACGTGTGGCTGGCAAACCTCTTACATGGATAATAGATCGCCACAAACTCATATCGGATGAGCAATATAACTCCCAAAACGCCAAGTCACTACTGTGCTTCTAGATATTGCTCGCGCTTGTGATATGGTACATAAACCTGCTCTAATTTGCAAATCTTATAAGCTTAGATTTAAGGTACATTCGGCATACTATTCCGTTGGCTTTCTCTCGGGAACTCGGCCTTTGCTTGTAAGATGCTGATCGGCTGTCTCTGATGTGCACATCCAAGTGGTCTTCCACAGGGTAGCTGTATATATTTTACAGTTCCTCAACCTAGTGATAAACGTTTATTTGACGACCTTCCTTCGGAGACATCCTCGTTCTATGTCGTGGATGGCAGCATAATTTGACACTCAAATGTAGAATCCTCGATCATTCCCACTCTTCCAGGGCACGCTCCAGAGGTAACGGCAGAAGTCAAAACATTACAGTCTCCAATTTCCGTTCTTGACCCGACATAATCGATATTTCAACACATCGGGCATGTCCACACCAAGTGCACTGACATGTATGAATTTGTTTAGGCGCATTTGACGGTCAGGATACGGTGCTGACCGACATACGCTACATTACTTGTATAAATCCTCGGTTCTTCCACTTATCAAATATGTATCCGTGGCGTAGGCGGGTGGAACGGAAGGCAGCCTAAAATTCCCTAACTGTTATTCGAAATATGCTCTTGCGACTTGCACAGGGAGCACTACACACATCCCCTCTTTCAGCACTCCAGGTAGATGCGTTCACTGCCTCTAGCCCTCCGACGTACCGATCACACTATGAGGCATGTCACGAGGATACTTCTTGGGACCAGCAGAACATCGCTCGGGCCTGACAATCGCGTCTCAAGTCACTCTAGCCCTCCGACGTACCGATCACACTATGAGGCATGTCACGAGGATACTTCTTGGGACCAGCAGAACATCGCTCGGGCCTGACAATCGCGTCTCAAGTCACTCTAGCCCTCCGACGTACTGATCACACTACGAGGCATGTCACGAGGATACTTCTTGGGACCAGCAGAACATCGCTCGGGCCTGACAATCGCGTCTCAAGTCACTGATGGTAGCTTAAACTATGTTTTCCGCGAGCCTGCGTGCTATCTGATTTAGTAGTGCCTCTATGGCAATGGCACCTCGAACAGCTTTGGTTCTCTTTGTTGAAGTTAAACGCACCGTAAAAACATGTAGTGTACAACAAAGTTCAATCACATGGTCGCAAAAATATTCACACTGTTGCTTCATTTATATTGATGGTTTCAGGGCTGAAAATGACACTGGATGTGCGGTACTCTTTCACACACTTTTCCCTCAAAAATGCAATTACCGGATGGAACATCCGTGTATCTTGCAGAACTACTACCTTCATTTCATTCCTTGCAGCACATCGAGGGACAAAATCAAAGGATCAATTTTTGGTGATTTGATCGGATTCGGAGCCGGCACAGCTGTTACTGACCATGACTGAAAGGGAATATGTCACATTTTAAGATTTTAAAGCAGGCATCTGTATATCAAAACTTAAAAGACAGCTCTAGACCACACAATTTCTCTGTTTAGTAAATGTTTCACTAGAAACCTCATTTTTTTATTACGTCATCGCACCTTGCGCAACATTGATTGGCAGGTAATTGTGGCCGTTATGCCTGGAAATCATGCCCACAAACACCAGATATGAACGACTCAAACATTATAATTTTATTGGGGTTGATCGCCAGGTGGTTTATGGAATGACAGGATTTGTATGACGTGATTGCGACGCCATGGATGTCAAGGTAACGTTGAAATAATCTCCCCGAAATCGCCTTTCCATCTTTGCGGGCGTGTAGTCCAAAGCCTATCAGGGTTTAGGTCTCAAGAACGACTGTGAACTGCAACGAATGATTTTCACGATGGCTATTTTCGTTCAAAACCCCTTAGAAAAGAAGACCACTCCCTTTAGCTTACCACCTCCTTGCCAATATTACATATATATCTCATTGTTTACGCGCACAAGACAAAATATATTAAATTGCTGTGGGGGCTAGGCCATAGGCGTATCACAGGAGATGAGCGGGCCGACCAACTGGCGAATTAAGCATTGGCGTCCCCTCCCATCGCACTCACCCTTGTTGACCATGCTTTTATAAAAATGGCGATTCACAACTGGAGAAAATAAGGTTGGCAACGACGATGGCGGATAACGCTAAGACCCAATTTCATTACACATAACCAGAAGCTACATCTCGGCCATCAGTAAACCGTACAGACCGATTGGAAGGAAAGACATCGACACGTCTCCGCAATGGACACACAAAGTTGGGCAAAATGGACACGCATAGTTGTATTTGAAACATCATAGTCCCTTACATTATCTGTGTGATCGCTCCCTGGCTGTTAAGCATATTTTACCTTAAAGGAAATGTTACACATTGGAAGGCATTAAGGTAGGCATCAGATATGGTGTAGAAAGCTCACTTGTAACTAATGGTAAGATTTTAAGGTTCAAAAACGGCGCTAAGAAGCAAAATTTCAAAGTTTGTAAAAACGCGCCCAATTACGTCATTGTTTGATAGCGTCATGGAATGGTTTTTGTGACGACAGCAGTACCTGGCAGCATCTGGCAGCCAGACTTTAAGAACACCTCAAAACATGAAACGAAACGAAAACTGACGCTAGTCAACCATTCTCGCCGCGGGGCTGTGTCGGGTGGCGTATTAGTGGGTTGTTGGTGAACTGTTTGACATACGCTACGTAGCGATCGCCAGCTTCTATGCCAGCTTATTAATATCAAAGCACGACATGATTTGCTGCTGCTGTTGCTGATGAGTTACTAATGATTTTGTCAATACTTTATTGTCGACTCACCGTTGCCTGCAGTGTTGTAGTCCTGACATTGATATCGGGTGATGTGAACGGTACTTCTTTATTGTTTGTACCTGGAAATGCGGTGTCATACGAAAATAAATAAATTTAACGTTGCCAGGAATTCATCGCCAAAGCATTGCTATTGCTATGGTAAAGATGGTAAGGCTGGTAAGGATGGTAAAGGTGGATGGTACCGAGAACTGTTTTGCTTGGAATTGTATATGCAATTTATAGTTAACCCTGATATAATCACTGTGGTGCAATCACATTCTCGCTATTGATAGTCCTTTGGCATTGTTAAGCTAGTTGTTATTAGTCAGTCATAAATTATGAGATGTCTCATAGACTTGAAAGAGTAGTCAAACAATGTGATGCATTGTGTAATGGCGCAGGTCGACAGCGGTGGCACTACCTCAATGCTGTACTGTGGCATGACATAATGAACAATGAAATAGTTTTTGCACTGCAATCTATGCAGCTTTCATAATAAACTAAATCATGCAAAGATGGGTGAAGTGTCCTCTCCTGTATTGACTCTTCGTCTGACATGTGAATGACCAAAAACACATGATACAACATACAAATCACTCTCAGCAAACAGACAACCCATAAGTGGCATCGCTTGCTCAGCCTGTTTTGGGAATCCACAAAACATAGGTGAGAAAGATGCAAACACATCTTCCACTTTCACAGCCATACAACATACTGCAGCCATCAGGGCGCTTTACCAAAAAATAACAGGAAAGTTTTACATGTGATATAATGGCACCACAAACACGCTGATCTTGCACAAGGCTGGAAACCTGAAGTGCTTGTAGTTACAGCTGGATGGGCAAAATGCAAGGAAGTGATGAAGCTGCCAGGGCACAAAAGGCTCATGAAAACGATATTATAAAGTGCTATCCAAGACACCAACAGCAATATTTTTCCACCTTTCTCAGCACCCAGCATCTCACGCAAGTTGCAGTCACTATGCCATTGATGGCTCACGAGCAATGCTCGCCTGCATACAAAATTTGTGAGGATTATGTGCATCAGAAGTAAGACAGCTCTATATTTTCAGAATTCTTTAGGGAAAGACAATTTTGTCGAGCCATATGATGTGAGCCTGTATTGAGCATGTGCATTCATGAGCTGCACGCACCAGCCCCTACTGCCAAAATGAGTTACTGATATCATGACACGCAATGGATTAATTACATTCCGTAATGTCTCAACAGGTTCAAAATGTTTGCAAGGTCATAATAAAGTACCAGCTTGCATTTGTACACACCTGCAACATAAGTGCTAGTGCTTCTCTTAGTTTGCCAGCGTTCCTTCGTCATGTTCAAACACAAAGGTAGAGGCATGTATCAATATATCCCATTTTATTGGGAGTCAGTAGACTTAAAGAATACCAAAACAATGTTTTACCAGAGGTACAAACCTCGCACGCTCACTCCTCATCGCATCAAGATCACCACAGACCACTGGCACGCTCCACCAGTGTACATAAACTAAATATCTTAGTTTGCCAGGGTTCCTATGTCATGTTTAAACACAAACATAAGGGTAGAGGCAGGTATCAATTTATCACATTTTAGTTGGAGCCAGTAGACTCAAATAATACCGAAACAATGTTCCCTCTCAGAAGTACAAACCTTGCGCGCATACTCCGCATCACATCAAGATCACCACAGGCCACTGGCACGCACCACCAACGATCACACGCATTCCATGCCCCCGATTGACACTATTTTGTCAAATAAATGTGATATCACACTTCCACAGCTCGCAGAACTAGCAAATTGCAGGTTTTCTCGCAATTTCCGCATCGATTTTCAGTCATAACACCATATTGCAGCGCGACCTCCCTTTAAAACAAAGTCCCAGCTGGGGTTCATGGTAATGCGTCTCAACAGGTTTCTTCAGGAAGTAGAAAAAACGCTAAGGGGGGGGGGGGCGGGGTAAAGACAGATTTGCCGTCGCGTCTTCGTTTTTATAACTCTCGGAAAAGTGCCCGTTTTTTGGTTGCCGTACTTTTTTGCAGGCAGTGGCGTTTTTTATAACGTTGACCTTTGGTCTAGAAATAAGAAAAAATGACCCGTTCACGAGGGGTGCCGCACAACCCGAAAATGCTCACGCTTACGTTCGCGAAGCGCATTCAGCAGCGAAATCTTGCTAATAGCGAATGATCTTCCGCACATTGCATCATACGTGCCGCATCATCGCTTTTGCGAACGTACCAGCGGTCATGCTGTTTTGACCATAAGCAGAAAACGGCATGTAGTATGGCTGCGATCGCATGACGTTTCTATGACGTCACTAATGCCGAGGCAACTTTGAAATAAGCTCCAAATAGACGTTTCCCACTTTTGCGGGCGTGTAACTCAGAAACCAGATCCTTTTTCGTCTTAAAAATGACGTGACCGTGAACTGTGTGAAAATGTCCTCAAGATGGCAATTTCAGTTCAAAACGCCATACAAATGTGGAACATTTCCTTTAATGTGACGACTTTCAACAGCAGCGAAGGGCACTGGGGGCATATCGTCGTCACCAAAGTGCTGCGCTATCGTCGAAAGTCTCCCCAAGTATTGACCAACCACATTTTCTTGATTTTCTGTTCAGTTTTGTTAGACGTGCCGATATGCTTAAAGCCTTGTGAACTTAATAGCATTACTTCCTTCTTCAACCATGTAGTAGAAACTAGAGGGTTTAGTTCTTGAGAAGTGCAGGGCTGTGAATTGCATCGAGTAATCTTCAAAAGGTATATCAGACCAAAACTCCATACAAGGGTGGAAAACGTCCTTTAAAATCATGAAGTCAGCAACAAGTACGAGCATACCTGCCTGGTGCAGTTTCGTAGAAGCTATCAACGCCAAATCCGCACTCGTCTGTATGCTATAACAGCATGTTCGTACCGCTATCCTTAGTTAACATAAAGATTATTATCAGCCAATGTGATCAAGTGCCTTACTTCCAGCCACCTCCACAAAGCATGTTTCATTTCCACTGATGCTTGCAAGTTACCAGCTATTGCATTTCTGTCCACACCATTCCAGGTGATGGTTCGGCCTTAGTACCTTACGCTAGGAGCAATAACAGAAAACCATGCCGTGTCGGCCATGAAGCACTCTACCCCTGTAACCTGTCCGCTGCCGGGGAGTGCGCCTGGGCCAGCTCCGCTGCGCCGAGTAGCTACGTGTTACGACACCGCCTAAGCTTATGCTAGTCGTAACGTTATGTTATGCTATCATGCTTTTATCGTATGTTAGCCAGATTTACCGTACTTTTATCGTAAACTGTTACCTAAAGAGCAGGACAAGGAGCCTGCTGAGAATCCGGTGTGCCAATGGGGCGATGCCGACGTTTTCCGCTGGCTCATGGCCGAGTTCCTTGGCAGTCGTCTTTGAACTGTAGCGTGCCATCCTCCCGCAGAAGAAACAGACAAAGCGATCTTCGAGAGACCATCTAGGTCGATGCTGTCGTCACACATTATGTTGCATTGGTGCTTTGGTGGGAAAACTATCTCGTACCAAACCCATTGCACCAAAGGAAAGTGGTTGACAGTTGGTCTTACAAGCGAGAACGATTGCACCAAATGTAAGGGCAACATTCAGGGCGGCCCCTGCTATTCGTTGTGAGGTGGTTTACCTACGTGATGCAGTGAGGTGGTTGATTCATAGGCAAACGTGAGTCAAATAGCCGCAGCAAGTCTGCGTGCATACGAATCGTCCGATCATTGCTTCGGACACAGATTCTTCCACAGATTCTGGTGGCATTTTATATTTACTACGATATTCAACATCTATAAGAACATACTAATGCGCTTGTATTTTCTCATTTCCATGCTTTCGTCCTTGTGGAAGAAGTATGTTTCGTCGTAGTTCACCACTCGTCTCTCCACAAGTTCTAGCCGAAACAACCTTGCGAAGGGAGCTGCCGAAAAGAAACAGGTCAGGTGGATCATGCAACGCCGAGAAGATATTATGAACAGGCGCAGGATATTATGGCATACTTTTATTGTGTGCAAGATACCGTAAACGAACGCAGTGTGCAGTATGCCAGACACGTAAACGTGAGGTGATTTGATACCTGATGAAAATGCGCCATGTCATCTCGTCATCCCTTGCGATTATACAGGTGACTTAACACTCAAAAAACTTACTAGGATAAAGGTGAGACCATCTGCCTTCAATCATAGTTCCGTTTTTTGCATGCTTCTTGTGCATGGAAGTCGCTCTATTTAAAACTGAACGTGAGGTGTGCATAGCTGAAACGGAAAAGGGTTATGTTATAGGTAAAAGGCGTGCTAGACTTCATACGAATCTACTTAAAGCAAGTGTTTTCGCACATGGTGTAAAAACAGGAGTGGGGCAGTGGGCATGTCCCCCCCCCCCCCCCACACACACACACTTGAGTGTTTAATATTAACCTGATCGCGATGTACGGAAAGAATCGACTTAAACATTGGCGTGCCCCCCCCCCCCCCCCCCCCCCGTTCTTTCTGAGACGTTACTGTGCCAGTTTACAATGATCTGTACGTAAATATTCAACACAACTTTTCATTTTTACATTGCTCGCGCATCTTATCCAAGGTTCCAAGACTTATTTCACAGTACAGTCATTTTGAGCAAACATCGGCTCCGCGTCAAAGAACTATTTGCTTTTCACGCGACTTCGCCGGCGTGTGGAGCTGTTGTTCTCATTTGCTCTTCCATCCACGCACGCTTCTCAGTATTTCTCAAGTCGCTCTCACGGCTCGCTAGTTCAGATTTATTTACCATGGATTCACGATTCACTTAATTATAAACAAAGGCCATTCCTTCCAGTCAGCCCACCTGTGTTTCTTCCGCCACTTCTCTCAGTGACCGCTACACACAGCACGTAACCGACTGACGCACAGATGTTTTATTACCCCAGGAGCATTGTTAAACTGTCGCCATCAATACCAGTGCTTGTGCTCTCCGGTAACGAATGCCAGAATGCACCCTCTACACTCTCCCGTGCCAATAGTTCTTCCCGCTGTGTTTGAGCCGGCGACAAAACGCAGGGTGGGATGACGAGTCCAGTCTGGCCACCGTTCCTCGACGTGGGGGATAACGGCTGATGCTATTCGCCACAACAAAGTCGAAGACTGAACTATTAAAGATTCATCAACCTTGTGGGGATCATTTTACCTTTTCTTATTATTACAAGTTCCAATTTATTTGTGATGACAGCACATCTGCACACATCACTGGAGACCAGTTCCACTCCCATAAAGTAAAGATTACTTGCGTCGAATAGAGATGAGCGAAGTGATGCAGTATTCGATTCAGCGTTCTGTGAATCATGACTGGGCTCCATTCAGCATTCTGCCAATGATGACTGGACAACAGGCGGCCGTCGACGAGCGCAAAGCGAACAGAAACCACCCGGGGCGAGGACCAGGTCACCGTCCAACTGTACAGCCGGAGAACCTAGCAGGAAGAACTCATCCGAAGGCCGGTGGATCTGGCTAATCGAAAAATAAATGAAACCTTGAGGTGGTTGAGTTTTAACCACTGGCGTAGGTACTGAGCACGAAGCCATGACACCTATTTAGAGAGGGGGTGGGTATCAGGACCCACCCTCTATTTTCGAAGTTTGATGTTCACCATTTGGGATAATGTCATCCAAAGAGTTTGCTCCATAAGTGTTGCTATTTTCTCTCGCAATTCTAACGCCCGTTGTCCGTACCCTCTGCGTTAAATCTCGTCACGGTATGTCCTAATTTTGCCTTGTTACAGATGATCTAATTTTTTAAACTTCTTCACATATCAAGCCAGCGTGTTGTGTTCCATTTTGAAAGCAGCGAAAAGGAAAAAACTGGAAATCAGTACATTGCCTGTTTGCACGCAATCCCGTTTGCATATATATATATATATATATATATATATATATATATATATATATATATATATACAGACTGCGTTAACTGGTGACGGTTCATTCCTGCCAGCTGAACCAGCAAACAAACACCACTGCCCCACATTACAAACAGCCTGATAGCCGCTCGCACGGGCAGCAATCCCGTCAGCCTGAGTGCAGGCGAGCACTCGTGCGGCCAGCAGTGCCGTCAGCTTCTTAGTGCAAGCAAGCACTCGTACGGCCAGCAGTGCCGTCAGCCTCTTAGTGTAGGCAAGCGCTCGTACGGCCAGCAGTGCCGTCAGCCTCTTATTGCAAGCAAGCACTCGTACGGCCAGCAGTGCCGTCAGCCTCTTAGTGTAGGCAAGCGCTCGTACGGCCAGCAGTGCCGTCAGCTTCTTAGTGTAGGCAAGCACTCGTACGGCCAGCGGTGCCATCAGCCTCTTAGTGTAGGCAAGCACTCGTACGGCCAGCAGTACCGTCAGCCACTGTGTGTAGGCGAGCACTCGTAAGCCAGCGGCGCGGAAAGCCATTGAGTGTAAGCGAGCACTCGTGCGGCCAGCCGTGCAGTAAGCCACTGAGTGTAAGCGAGCACTCTCACGGCCAGCGGTGCAGTAAGCCACTGAGTGTAGGCGCGCACTCTCACGGCCAGCGGTGCAGTAAGCCACTGAGTGTAGGCGCGCACTCTCACGGCCAGCGGTGCAGTAAGCTCCTGAGTGCAGGCGGATACAAACTGCCCACCTGACAGGCCGTCCTCGGACGAGATCATTCTCCGAATCCCTCGGCTGTGGAACAACACAAGCCGAGTGCGTCGGTGCTGACCTGTTTCGCCGATCCGTATTGACTCTGCGAAGAAAATAGAGTCGATGATTTTTCAACCCGCGTTTTGAATGGTGCCGCAAACGCATGTGCGGTCCCCACGGTACAGGCCCGAATACCTTTGATCATCAGTTTTCATTTATTTGCGTTTGTTAGTGGGTTAATCAGTGAGTAGACAGGGGCATTGATAACCTTGGTGCCTAATTGTGAATATACGGGGTCACATGCACGTATGCTGGCCATTATCAGTTTTACTTGCATTTGGTACGCTTGTTCAATATCTCAAGGTTTCCAAACACCACCTCTGTCACTTGCGGAACCATCCCAGAAAAAGTAGACCACTGGCGATCACAGTTTGACGGTGGTCAAAGTTATATTGCTTGGCTGACCTGAAGAATTGGCGTGTTTGCAGTACTGCAGGAGGGGCTGAACAGACCCGGTGACACTGAAGGTCGTGCGTTCAGTGCCCTTGGGGCATGCAGCAGGCGGCAACGCACCTGACGTGACGTTCCCCATCTGGTCACTGTTAAGACCACAGAAGCAGCTCCCACTGTGGAACACAAAGCATGTGTATAGCGCGTAAAAACATGAAACCAACCTTGTCCAAAACAACGCTAAAAATTTAGATATCATAAATATCGATACAGTAAGATTGATACACATACATATATACATATATATATATATATATATATATATATATATATATATATATATATATATATATGTATGTATATATTGTGTCTTTGTGGTGTTCCCATTAGGAGTGTTTCTTACATGTACGAAAATGAAAATAGGATTCCGTCCTACTTCAATTAGTCATGCTTCATTTATGTTCTCCGTACCAAAAGATGCTTTCCAACAGTAGTGCACAATTTTTCGTCCTTTAAAACTCAAAACTTATTTCTGGTGCAATTTAGTCTTCTCCGACGATGAGATAGGATCTCGAAACGTTAGAATGGAATGAGTGATGAATATATGAGTAATTTTGTGCGAACCATACTTAATCTAAGCGATGACGCCAAGTCAAAGGCCCGGAAAATAGAACGATGCATCAAAACGCTCGTCAATGCTGAGTCAGCAGTTATTTTTTAATCAAACATATATATATATATATATATACATATATATATATATATATATATATATATATACATATATATATATATATATATACAGATATCCCATTGCCTCGACTAGACATGCCATGTACAAATGGTACCGTGAGCGATTGGAAATTTATAGCGTTGTTTTGGATACGGTTCATTTAACTTACATATTTTGACACCGTCCTCGCTCAGCAAAGGCCATCAACTGTGCAAGAATTGCACCAAAATGACATCATATGAACCATTCTAAGTTGCTTGCTAACGCCCTTGAAGTTTCAACTACGTATGACAGGGGAAAGTTCCGTATCTCAAACCGCTTTGATTGGGTTGAGTCGATTTTGGTCTCAAATTAAGTGCTACATATGCTTGGTACCATGAGGATAAAGCAATTTAACGCGCGCAAAATGTGTCAGAGATCTGCAAACTGTCTCAAATACGCATGTTTCTTCTTCCATCGCCACATTAAGGCATCCACTACATTTTACGCTGCTTATCATATTTGTTATGGCGAACTGGTAGGTTTCAACCGCTAGTCGTTTTCGCGATAAAATAAACTTCATTCCACTACAGCCCCTATGATCCCTCATGGTTGTCAGTTTGCTAAACAGTGTCTAAATGTCTTTACTTATGATCATCAGGAACGTCTAGATTGCGTTTCTAGCTGCAGGCAGGGAAGTGATCATGATTTTCTACTGAGATGATATCCCAGCTTGGCTTCTTTGCTACAGGATTCATGATGTCAAACGTTCATTTTTGTTGTAGCATCGATCCATGCAAATCGTGATAGTTATTTGTGCAGTTATTCGACTAGCAGTAAACGGCCCCTATTAACAGTCTGCGTTGGTAATTGTTGTGTAAATGCATTTCAGTTTAGTTATCAGCGTCTTTCCCGCCTCACCCCGCCGTGTCGTTCACAATTTTCACCTTTATCTCTACCTTTAGCTTCTTTCCTTCGTACCTATATTTACCTTTACGTTTACAACCTTCACCTTTACCTTTATCTAGTGTTGGGCTGCCCAAAGCTCCATGACGGAGGTTAAAGCGAGTGTTTCACATTTGTAGGGGGTTTTGAGCTGAACTAGCTATCTCAAACATCATTTGGTACAGTTCGCGGCCCTGTCCTTCTTCTGCCCTAAACCCTTCAAGTTTCTGAACTAGGCACCCACGAAGATGTGCAGACTGTTTCGGGGAGACCATTTCAAGGTCGCTAAGGCATCTATGACGCCATAATAACCCATCGAAATCGTGCCATTTCATTAGTCATGCGGCGATCAAAGCCAAGAAAAAGTATAATTGTCAAGTCGTTCATATCTGGCGTTCGTGGCGCAAATTTCAGATATAACGGCCGTCAGTTGGCTCTCAACAGTTGTTGTGTAGGGTACCATGGCTTAATCAAATAATGACGTATTGAGGAACTTTCTTATTTAACAGAGAAATTGTATTGTCCAGGACGATCTCTTCCTCATAAAAGTATACCAATAGTTATAGATGGGCTTATTTAATCATATCTAATGCTTGCTCCAATATTTTCAAGTGCGGAACATTCGCCTTAATTTACGAGCTGGCTAACATTTAAATTTCACCAGCGTTCGCCGAGTTCTCAACATTTACATAGCATTCCTCAAGGGAGTATCCCAGTTACGCACGATTTGATCAGTAACACCAGTTCTCTCAAAATCCTTCTAAATGGCTTAGACTTCCGGTTTGAAGCAGCCGACCCTGCGTGAGAAATCTCATCTGACTCACTGCTCACCACTATGAATGTCATGCACTTCATTTGCCTTGCTGTTGCCAACGTGCGTACTTTGTAATGTTTGCAACAGCTCAATGTTTTCAAATGTTTGCACAATAAATTAGACGAGCTATAAAAGCTTGGAACGCTGCTAAGACCAGAAGATATGCGAACGTGAAGCTTTTATCCCGCCAATTCAAGAAACGTCGTACTGTGGCTTTTGGTTTCTCCCCAACGGCGTTTACTACAGTGACTATTTTCGAGGCGCACTTTAACTTTGGAAATGGGAGTATGCATGATCCGTGTGACGGAATGTTTCAGATTTCAACCTATGTGCTCTTCGGTAACAGGCCCTTGCACGCTGGGCCAACCACAAACGGTCTGTTATTCGCACCACTAGAGGTGCGCACGGCCATTGTCATGACGACGGTGGTCGCGGCTGCAGGGAGGAAGGGAAGTGCTGCAACAAAGCACTGACGGCTCAATTTAGGCTCGAAGAATAATTGAAATTGGCATCTTTGTTATGTTTTGACGGTGCTGCTTTACCACTTCCCAGTGCTATTTTTAGACGCAGCTAGTCCTGAGGTTTCGATAGAATATTGTTTTGAAATACGCCCGAAATGTGGGACACCCCTTTCACTGGTTTCTGCATCCGGAGGGAAAAAAACGTTAGAATATGAAACATTTGGTGTTGGCGATCCGGCTAAATTACACTACACATGCATAGTTCACTTATCCAAACAGGCCGCATTGACGGTGTGCCAAAAAGAATAGTATCATGATACGACATTGATTAGCCTGTTAGCGAAATAATGCGATATCATCCCAGATAAGTTATTTTTGCGATAATTATTGTAGTTGCGTCGGCAGATGCATACGTAATTCGATTCAAAACCCAGTCAAATGCCTTACAAAATTAACGGCTGGGGAAATATTCTTAAAATCTGAAATGTGTTCGGAATCTTCGTCCTAGGCTGGACGTACAAACTCCGTAGGTCCTGGTTCAAACATTTTTATGTTATGTACGTTCCTGAGACTCAGTCGGTGTTCATGGTGCCTGATGATCGCGGTGAGTAGTTTTCTAAGATAGTGTCCGGTGCGGGTCATCGTTAACATCCGGCGCAATCAATTTACGTCGAGTCAAATCGGGAACAGACGGAACGGGAGACAAGACCAGAGCATGACAGGACGGGTAGGCTGGGCTGGCGAAGCAGTCGGATGAAACAACTCGTTCCTCCCCTGCCGAGGAATTATGAAGGATGGTGCCGGATGTCAGAATTCAGGCAGTACATCATCGTGGAGGGGCGGCAGTGTCCAGCCTGGTGCTGCTGATAGCCGCGTGGGAAAAACCCGTGAACGCTCTTCACGGGACGCTCACCAGTGGTTACGATCATGAGAGACGACATTGGCTGCTTTACATCTGCACACCGTTCTGCCTACCTATTATGCCGTTCCTCCAAGCAGATCAAGCGGGTTCAAAGCTCTTTCCTCACCCTTCTAAGATGGCCACGAAGAGCTGCTCCTTATCCAGACAGTGGCAGAGACATTTCAGGTGGTTGTCGGCGCTGACGTTGGCGGATTTCCAGTAGGTTTTGTTCGCCGGTCCCACGTAGCACGTTCCATTCACTGCGGGCTTTACTACAGCGCGGGCGCAATGCATCCCAGTTATGACAAGTCGCCGGGACATCGTATTCTCGACGCGCCAAGTGACGTCCCGGCGTCTCCGGGGCAGGCAGGTGTTACAACTACTCAGCACCTCGCGACTGGCTACAGCTGGACGGGAAGCGTTCAGGCCGTCCCAGCAGGCGTGAAGAGCGTGTCATGTCGGTGGCTGCGCTCTCTGAGTGCCGTGACACGTGCGGAAAATGACACGCATTTTGGGGAGGGGCGAACCCAGATTGTTTCAACTACTCAACACGAGCCCAGCGTCTTTTGTTTGGAACGAACTGGTACCAAGTCCCGATGTAACCCCGCCACAGTGATTTCCCAACAGGTCCACCTGTGATCACGTCACGCGCAGACGCGCTTACTCAGAAGTATCGTGCCGTTGAAGTACTCAGTCACGCGGCGCCGTCTCTCTTGGCCGCCGTCAAGCACCGCCCTGGCCACCCGCGACTGCACGCCAGACTGCTTGGCTGGATCACGGAGGACAAGGGTCAGTCGCTTCTCCTCTTGCAGACCTGGTAAGTTACCGCATTTGATATGCATTGTTACCAGATCGAATGGGCCCAAGAACAATGTTGTGGATAATTAACTTAACGGTTTATTGGGAGACATGAGGCCATGACCATAAGGCTCAACCAATTAGCGATGCGTCCATTTGGCTGCGTGTTATGTGAGTGTATACATTTAAGTACGGTACAGCAGTGTGCAGACTTCACCAGATGTGCGTGAACAGAGAATGCCAGAACAGTATTGAGCACTTACCGACCACTCGGGTATGAACGAGTTGCCGCTTCTTAATTCGTCGGTATGTTGCAGGATACATTGAACGGCCAAGGAATTCGGTAACTGCGCTGGAACTACTGTTCTGGGCCGCTGGAACGAAAGAGCTGTTTCAATTGACAACACCCAACGCAAGTATTGCAGGCCATCGCAACTATGACAAATTACAAGTAGTTGTAAGCCGCATAAAAACATAATCTGTCGCGGATCTGCAACTTATATATGTAGGAAATGCTCGGAGTACGCAATCGGAGATCGCGGATTGAATTGGAGAGCTTTCGAATCATGGGTTGGATTGATGCACTGTCAAATAATTGGTATTGATGAACTGTGGCCATTGACATTGATAAATAAATCCATGGATTTGACAGAACCAGAAAACACAATTTTTGTTTGGTGAATAAGCCATTTTAAATGCACACACAAGTTTACTCAATTTTACAAATTTAAACGGGCTAAGCACCTGAATGTCACTTTCTTGAATGTGCTCATGTTTGCTATTTTCACATGCTCTCCTGCACTAGGCTGAAGCGGGGCTTGTACAGATGGGGCGGAACTATTTTATTTATGTCGTATTACGCAAACTAGACAACTCATAATTTCCAAAAAAAAACATGGAAGGTGAAAACAGTTCATAACGAAATGCTTGGAAGTTAGTTTAGTGGTCTCCGGGTATGTGTTCGTGTCTGGGCGGGATCTGAACAAACAACTGTTTGGTCTCAAAATCGCGAGCCTTCAATTACGAGGCCAGCCACTCGCATACAAACATAATTATCTAGGAAAGAGCCTGCTGGAATTCTACCTATGACGGAGAATGCCTACGTAGCTGCGAAAAAGCTTCCTTTCTGGCCATTACTTCTTCCAGTATAATTTATACCAAACCATGTTAAGGCGCCACACGGCACCATGCATAGGAGATAAGTATCCTTGGAGATAAATATCCCATCGTGGTAGACTAAAAAGCCTCATAACTGAACTAAATGAACACTTAGATGGAGAAAGTGCGAGGGATACGAAAGGCTTGCCCGCATAAAGGTCAATGGACAGACACGCACAGGCAAGGATACATGTTGTGAGGAGGAATGACGTCAGTTGCTTACGCAGCTCTACACACGGAGCGATTGAGAACTAGAATCCAAATGCTATGCCCCGATACCGCCTGGAGTATTCCGCAGGCGTCGAGGGTTTTGGCTTGGTAAAAGCAGCCCTGCTACCTCAGAACCTTGCTGACAGTCAGGAAAAATCGAACGGTAGTGGCCAGTCCTCTGCTGTCTGCTTGCAGGAGCTGTTTAGTTGAATATCACATATGGATGACATCACGAGCCGCCGATTATGTATCCCGCCATGGTGTTCAGAAAGGTGAAACATGAAATGTCGGAATGGGTCAAAGTGAAATCACACACGGCCGGCTCACGACAACGATGGGATTTCTCTGATATTATGGCTCATCTAACTTAAGCATAGTAGCAACTGTTTTGAAAGTAAGTGAGCTGTGTTGACCCGTCTATTTACGAAAGGTGCGAGCTCTTTTAGCCTGAAGTTTGTAACTCACGTGACAACAGGTGGTGAGCTGGTGTGACATGTCCTGTCACTGATCCCCACCGACAAGCGGTTAAGCCAAGTGATGGCTTATCTCAAGCAGTTCCAAACGGTGAAGTTTGTTGCAAGACACTAGCTGTCTAAGCTAAACTAGATGTGTAGGCATTCACTGCTGGCGTCAAACTTCGGTACCTGACCTTGCGTCAAATTGTGTTGGTTCAGAATGCATAATTTTTTCGTTTCACACGTACAGGAAATATGGTGGAAGCCTTGGCCCCATGGTTCAGGAGTTATATCAAAAGCTTGGTGGGGTTACTTTAAACGAGTGGTACGGAATGCAATATTTGGTTCTAAAGTTATTACAGGTACTGGAAAAAGCGTTAGGCAGCAATGCAAGCCTTTGGCGATAGCCACTTGTATGTTTGAAACATATTGATAGAATTTTGTGCGACACTAACTCGACATAGGTGCATGTGACTGCCGCTAACATTTGCGGTAACGTCAGCCAGCGTTTAATGCCGCTAGCGCTATTGAATTCCACGAGCAACTCCCACTTGCACACTTTCTTACTACCGCAATAGCGTCAACAATCTACCAAAACCTAGTTAGTTACATTGAAGACGTGGGCTTTATTTATAACAGCAATGCGCTTTGATTTGTTGACCAGTCTTGTGTACTTCGTTTTTACTCACCGGTTTCTCTGTTCAGCGACTTGTCTGGTTCCGTCAAAAAAGCCTTTGCCATGATGTAGTGGGTTCGTTTGTTGGAGGTGATGGTGATATTTTCTCCTGTAACTTTTTAAAACATTTCGACTTGTTAACTAAGCAATGTGAAAGACATGACACTTCTAAAACCACCGCTTAAATGCGCGTTTAAGAAAACAAATGCTCGTAAAGGAGGGACTTCATGAAAAATGAAAGTTAAAGTCCTTGTAAAAAACAAGGGTGGGTGTATCTTGCAACTGGGGATGAATATTGAACAGAAAGAAGCTGGAAATGGTAAATTAAGACAAACGTAATTGTAGGGCTGATGGCGGGCAACAACACAATAGAGCGTCCAGGCAGGCAATGCAAACGCCCATTGTATGCCCATAGGTACAATCCGTAAGGATCTTATCTTTGTCATACGTACGCGCGTGCATACATCACGGCATATAAAGATTCCTTAGCTCTGAATAAAAGGGCTGCAAACATATATATTTAATTGTGACAAACCTGTAAGGGAGCGCTGACGATGGGTTTCTTTACTGTCAGTATTTTCACCGTTGTAGGTCACATTTTGGGATGATTCCGGATGTTCAGAGCTGTTGGTAGCTGGTCCTAGAACAGAACATCATTACTTTGTCAAGCAACAGCCATATGTGGCAATTTTTCATCGAGTTGCTTTGCTCTTGGTAAGTGCTATTCTGAGTGGAAAAAGCATTGACACGACCGATAGTTAACCTACCTGGCATCCATGCTTGTTTCACGTTCTTGCCAGTGGTGTTCTCGAATTTTGCCTCTTTTACGTCATGGTTCCATTCAAAGGTCCGAGGCCGGAAACCTGAAAAGCGAATATTTGTGATTAGTTTAAGGTGACGCCTGTACTTTTATTTTTAAAACGGGCTTCTCCAGCTACACGTACGGGCTGACAACTTAACATTCCAATTCGGTTGCGTGAGCAACCTAGAGTGACTATGTAATCCATCCTTCACAACGTGCTGGATGCTGCCCACATTTAATTATCATTATTTGTTACCAGGGAAACAACTATACCAAATACATGAAATGCATGAAGGGCATTGCTACAAGAAGGCTGATCATGCATGAAGCTGTTCTCGGACGCAGCGTGCTTTTTTCTAGCTTCTTGGACGAGAGGGAGTGTAGTAGTCCCAGAGCGCTACCTACCTTCCGATAAGAAGTACTACTTAATTTCAGGAGTGCAAGAAAAATAATTATTGTCGGGCAGGTAAGTTACTGAACGGCGTCTCTTTATTTTGGAGGCGTGCAACACGAATAAGTCATTCCTTCCAGATACTGTACGGTTGTAAAGCTAGGTTAACTCATTCAATTTTCAGTTTTACAGCTTCCAGCTCAGTTTCATCTTCATCTTTGCCATTCCGCTCTCATCTGCAATTTCATTAGGTGGGAGCAAACGTTATGGTTATTTGGTAGTTTGTATTAACCCTCCAAAAACACAAATTAAAGTAAAGAATTAACGAAGACATAGGGAGTTCATACTCTTTCAGCAAATGATGTAATGTATCTGACCCTTGATAAGCTGTTGATGCTCCAGACGGCGCAAAAAAGATAAATTCAGGACATTATGTCGTGAGCTGGATTTTGTGATCAGTACAACTTTAAGAGTTAACATTAACGCCGAAATCTGAATCGTGTCTATGTATGCACAGAGCAAGGGCACCAGGTACCTTAAAGTCCAAGACACCCCCGCGACTCCAGCCGCTTGCACGCGTCGAGTTTGGTTTGTTTACAAGATGCATCACGATCGGCGCCAGTGTGCCAAATGCAAGGTTTTCACACATCCCCAATTTTCGGTCTCGCCACCACATCACGAAAGGAGAGCCTGGTGCAAACACCAGCAAGGCCTGGTAGAGAATTTTGCTTCAGGTATTTCTTTTATCCGAAGAAACTTGACGACCAAATTGCATCACTCCCGAAATGCAGCAGTGAAAAATTCAATACGTGTCTTCTGAATAGAATTTACAAGATGAATATCACAATTTGAGCACTTATTTTAACATATTTTAAGCCAAATCGGCTGATAACAAAACTTTTCCAAAAAAGTTTCAGTCTTTATATTCATCTCACTACTTTTGTTTTTCCTGGTATCATACGAGTGTGATACCACTTTAATTTTCCTTCCTTTCCCACTGCCTTTAGAGGTACCATCTGTTGCTTAAATTGTTGACCAATTCATGTGCAAGATGCTCCAACTGCAAATGTGCACGTATTTTGTACATAAATCGGATTAATTCGCCAGCCGCCCAAACATGTTTGATATGCAAGTGAACAATTCACCGGGAATGAAAGAGACAATTTACAAAACTTATTTTTACCGCCATTTTTGCCCTCTTAAACCCTCGGTTAGCCATCTTTGGCTCATGGCGGTGCTCGATAATGATAAATCTAAGCCTTTCGAGTGTCTCACCAGGCTCCCTGACAAGGCTATCCTTATGCTGCCATGTATGCTGCTTTGGGACAGACCTGACGCAGCTAACACAGAAGTGTTTGATGGCGAAATTCTGCCTTCCGGAAATGTTTATCATGCACGCTTCTTACTTATTTCGCATTTTAATCTCTTAGATTGGTGGACGTGATTGCTATTTATGTTTGGGGGGTGGGTGGGATGACTCTGTTTGTCAGCAAACTGTGCAAAGTGTGGTACTGACTTTTTGTTTTGGGGGGCCAGGGAGAAGCGCGCCCTGAAAAAGCCAGTAAGTCTCCCGTGGACCAAGTAATTGCTTACCTCAACCGCTGTCAACGCATGATTTGTAACCATAACTAGCCATTTGCTGTCCTAATGCATCGAACTTTGTCTAAGACACGTTGTGATGCCACAAGCATGCAATGGGCTTATTTCGTTCCACATTCTTGATTATTTGTCCCAAATTTCTTGAAGTGGTCCCTCATGGTTGCTTTAACCAGATTTTTTCCATAGTCGTCATGGTTTGGTGACTGACAAATGACTACTATATATATGCACTATATTTTTAACACTGATGCTGTAAGGTGCAGAGCAAATATAATATGAGGTAATATCGACATTAAGCAAATAGACCATTGCATTGAAAATGTGAAGCCAACATCACAATTACGTCATTATATATGAGTTAACAGGTCTAAATAGATGACTTTGCTGCAGCTGAAAATGCAAGCACCAAATTGGCATGGTCATCTGAAAGTTATGTTACTTTTGGAGAAGAGCGATTGTTTTGTGGAGCATACCCATTGTTGCTCTTGACAGAGGTTAACCATGGCGATCAGAATAGGTTGTTCAAGTTATTTGAAGTGTTTTCATTTGTGTGTTGTCAACTTTGTCTGATGTCAACAAGCATACACAAATGAACTGAATACAAAGGCAAGCTGAAACCAGCCAAAAAATGAGCTTTATCATGTTGTTATCATAAGTGCTGCTCTCAACAGGTAGGTGAGTTGAGATGGCGTTCAACATATAGGCTACTCTAAGTAAGGTTAAGTTGGTTAAGTGCATGGCAAGTGACAATAGGAATTGCGCAGGTATCAGTAACTCGCAACTGCTGTTGTGATACCAACAGGTTAGACAGGATGAGATGAAGTAAGACCTCCCTAGGTTAGACATAGTTAGGCTACTTTCATGGAAATAAACATTGGTATTTTGTAAGCCACACTGACAAAATGTTTGTTTTCCCTGACCCTATCTTAACAGAAGCCAAAGGTATGTGTGTTGTGCTTGACTTGGTGATGACTTGATGTTTAGGAGTCCAAGGTTTTTTTTGTTTAAGAGCTTTATGCTTGTTGAATTTTCTGTTGTTGTTGAATTCCTTTGCTTTGTATTGTGTTTAAAACGCTGCGGAAGGGAAGTGCAAAGTGCAGCATCAAATTTTTGGTGTTACTGAATTGCGTTATGCTTATTACACTGTCATGAAGTTGCTATGCTTTAATGTATTCTGCTTCACGTTAATGGCCTAAGATGTTAAGAAACAAAACAGTTTTGTCAGGTTTATGATATTACGTCCACGCCACCCTGAAATTGATGTCTGCTGAAGCATCATTCACTAGCTCATAAGTTTCATCTTTTGTAACTTGAATTTTTCACTCCCGGGCAGCCTTTTTGCGATGAAATTTTTTGCTCCCACCCTAGTTCAAAAGCACTTCTGGCTCAATGGGATCCATTGCTGTTGAATAGAAACGCGCCGTGTAACGAGTACTTTTCATCAATATAGCTGAATTACGTCGTTGCCACACGACAACACGCTGAGAAAGTATAAAATTTTGACTCTTACCGGCAGACTTTTCATTCTTCTCAACAAGGAGGAATCCTTGCGCTGCTTTTCCTTGTGAAGAATCCATTTTCCACTCGCGAACAGTCACGTTGCCAGCTGTGTCAGTTGATCCGCACTCACATCCATTTCTGTGAAAAACAAACGCCGATAAATGGATTCGCCAAGGCATTGTTAACATCTACAGCAGAACCGTCCGAGACCACGCAGCATCTCGATCACAACACATGTGCTCAGTATTTCTTAAGGTTGAAAATGTTTTTTTCAAGTCGCATTTCCCGGCTTGCTCTAAGTGAATAAGATCATAAAGTTTTGTAATAAATTTATCTCTGGGAAATATTTCATTTATGAAGATATTCAAGGAACCATCAAATGAGATGATATAAGATGAATATACACACACACACACACATATATATATATATATATACCACTTCTGGTGTACTTTTTAAGTGGAAAAGATCGCTCCAGACAGCACAGATGTCTGTTAAGAAAATATGCTTCTCAAGACGTCATGGTTTGATTACGTCATCGTAAATAATACAATTTTGATTGAGAACCAACTGACGGTCGTTGTATTTAGAAACCGCCATCACGAACGCCAGATTAATTAGATTTTCTTAGCCTGGCTCGCCGCATGGCTTATAGGATGGCAGGAGTTGAAAGACGTTATTATGACGTCATGAATGTCAAGGTGACTCTGAAATACCCTCCCCCGATATACCTTTTCCCATCTTCTCGGCCATTTAGCTCAAAAACTAGAGGGGCTTTAGTCTATGGAGGGCTGGATTGTACACAGCGCCGAAAGCTCTTCAAGATGGCTATTTCCGTTCAAAGCCACATATAAATGTAGAACACTCCCTCTAACGTGTAGCAGATAAATCGGGCCACACGTATATATATATGTACGGTGCAGCCCAGGCACGCCCACAAGCAGCTTTGTTGTAATGCAAACACGAATTTTAGACGGCGACACTACTGTGGCATGCTTTTTAAATAAATAAAAAATGTTCAAACACCGCCTGGGGTATTTCACGAACCGCCGCAAGCGGTCTCAGTATTTCAATGTCCAATCACCGGTTAAAGAAATTGAAACGTTAATCGATAGCCTTAGTCTTATAGTTTGCGGTTATCGTATAGGTCATGACATCATGGACTAAGACAAATATATTTTTTTGAAATTGGACGGTCTTCATACATCCGCAAGATCATCAGCAACCGCAGTAATTGTTTTCAGAAAGCCCCAATATCACGACATTTGGGTGCTTGTAGTTGTAGCACGTCGCATACTTCACAGCTTGCTGGCAACGGAGAGGCCTTCGACTTATGCGTTAAAAGCGTACCATATTGTTAACGATCCAACGGTGAAGGCCCCTGGCAGAGTTAACGGAACCGTTCCACCTTTGAAGATATTGAAGCAAGCGTCAGATAAAATGCAATAATCTCGCTTATAACCATTGATATACTTTTAGGTGGAGAAGACTACTCTAGACACTGCAGTTGCTCTACTTGGTAAATATGCTCCTCAATGCGTCATTGTTTGATTACGTAGTCGTATCTTGCAGAACATTGATTTAGAGGCAATTGGCGGCAGTCGTGCTCACGAACGTGCACACTAACGCCATATTTGAATGATTCAACAATCATATTTTCTTGGTCTGGATTGCCGCATAGCAAAGGAATGACGCGATCTAAATGACGTTATTATGGCGTCGTAGACGCCTGGATGACTGAAAGAGTTCTCCCGAAATGGTCTGCACATCTTTGCAGACGTAAAGCTAAGAAACTTGATGGGTTTAGGTCTTAGAAAGGACAGGACTGTTAACAGCACCGCATGATCTTCAAGATAGCTATTTTAGTTCAAAAGCCATATAAATGTGGAACACTCCCTTTAAGTCAGGTGGGGCTCCGGTCAGGTCATCGGCTATGGTTGACTGCGGTAGGGGATATGGATTCCGGGCAATATGACCTGTTGAACCCAAATTGGCCTGCTCAGAAGTTTTCAGTTTGCTAAATGCATTGGATTACTAAGCAATTTGCCACAGCCTAAGACACCGCGAACAATTCTGCTTTGTCATTAATAAGTGGACCTGACATGACCTTTGTTAGCGATTAAATACGTTCCCGTATAACTTCCCGGACTCTGAATAAGGTAAAGCTAAACCGGTCGATGCAACATATTTTAACACAACACAGTTGTCAAATTTAAGTCTAAGCAGTCAGCCAAACTCCAACACATTGGATGAATGCAGTCAAATTGACATTAATGTCGAACACGTTGATGTGATCCCAGCATCGTTAGTCAGCTCCCAGTGACGCCTTGGTAGATGCAGATGCAGCGCTTCTCCAGCTCGCGCGCGTCAGTGAGATGTCCACCAATCTTCGACTCACACTCCGAGCAGCATGAGTCGCGTGCCTGCCAGGTCGCGACAGGCGACGAAGCAGTCGACCAGGCTGGTGCGGCCCGGCTGCGCGCGCCAGCGCACCGACGCCGGACGCTCCGCCACCCAGAGCACGCGGTGGCCAGCTGGCGGCGCAGCAGACACCGGACGTCAGTGACTGAGGACCCTCCTCCCCGGGCTAACTCGACTGGGTCGGGCCGGACGTGTTACACGCTAGACATTGTGTGGAGGCTGCGATGGCATGAGGTAGCTCGGAATACGGATTGTCTTAGCGATGCTATGAACGGTAGATGTGAGAGCGAATGCGTTACAGTGGCAGGGAAACGTAGGAAGTGGAGCGGGAAAATGACGGCAAGTTTTTAGATACATCACACATAGTTGCAGGCATGAAATATTTGGAATATCTACAACATAAGCCTTGAATGACATTTGGGACATACTTAAAAGCATACTGTGTTGAAATAAAATAAGTGAAAGTGAAATAAAAAAACATACTCATGCCCAGCTATGTACTTTGATATCATCAGTAAGTGACATAGCACCAAAAGGGTATGGTAATAAATACATTTTGACCATTAGCGGTGTGAATCACACGTTTCACGTTTTGGCACAGCACTTTGTTTTCATTGTAGCCCCAGATATCATTTCCGGAATGCAATATATTGGTGGGACACTTAATACGATATCTTGGGACTTCCCCGACTGGGTGATGATTCAACCTGTCAGATAATTGCGGTAACTAGCACGGTACGGATTCAAGGCCTCTGAAGTGCAATGTAGAAATTGCAAGTGATACGCTTGCCGTGAACACTTTCAGAAGTCAATTTTGTACCGTCATTATGGCCGTAAAAACATTACACGTTCAATGACCGCATGTCCTGCTGCTCTGGTGTCATCGCCACTCGTTCACAGCCCGTGCGAGGAGATGGAAAAATATGCTGCTGAGCTATCAGTACTGGACACACGTTTGGCCCACCATCTGGCCGCTAGCCGGTCATACCTCCGGCCCTTCATCTCACCACTAGCCGGCCACACCCCTGGCCCGTCACCTGACCGCTAGCGGGCCACACCTCCGGCCCGTCATCTGACCTCTGGTCGGCCACACCCTGACACGTTATCTGACCGCTAGCCGGCCACACCCCCGGTCCGTCATCTGACCTCTGGTCGGCCACACCCTGACACGTTATCTGACCGCTAGCCGGCCACACCCCCGGTCCGCCATCTGACCTCCGGTCGGCCACACCCCAGCCCGTTACCTGACCGCTAGCCGGCCAGACCCCCGGCCCGTTATCTGACCTCCGGTCGGCCACACCCCCGGCCCCTTATCTGACCTCCAGCCAGCCACAACCCCGGCCCGTTATCTGACCTCCGGTCGGTCACACCCCCGGCCCGTTATCTAACCTCTGTTCTTCAGGGAGTCCAGGTTACGTCTCCACACACTGACGGTCAGGACCGAGTAGGAGTCGTCGCTGCCGTGGCCCCTCTGGCAATGGGACATCGGCAGGCTTCGGAAAGTGTCACCAGCGCCGCCGGCATCGCCACACCGACACCCATCTCTGCGGGACATTGGAAACTCCATCACTTCCTGGCTTTCAGCGTTCAGCGTTCTTGTACATCGTAGCACAAAAGCTGAAAGCTTTTTCGTTATGATATGACATTCTTGGTATGCGTTGATACCTTTGCAGTTACAACTTTTACTATGTTCACATAATACACAAAAGTATATATAGATATATAAGCACATACATATATATCATACACATAAGCATATACATAGCATACATAAGCAAAAGCATATACATATACATCATTAGATACATGGAATCAGATATTTGCGCATACATGCATATGTACACACACACACACACATATATATACATATATATATATATATATATATATATATATATATATATATATATACTACATATGTGTGTGTGTGTGTGTGTGTGTGTACAGAATCGGACAGATCTTGGTTAACAACGGTTTTCCAAATTCTGACGTTGAAAACAAAATACCATGACATATGACAAGACACTTTGACAGCAAACCATGACAAGACATCCAACCAACCGTCGAACTCTATTGTCAAAATCAAATGACATCTGCCCACGAACAAGGCGAAAAAGCTTTACAGGAAATAATCTCTCGACATAATGAGAGGATCCCTAACTTTCTTATGAGACACAGCCCAGACAAACCCTACAAACTAAAATGTACCCATGTAGTGTATCAATCAAAATGCAACATCGAAGGCTGCAAACATCGTTCGATGCACTACCTTGGTGTGACCACAACGGCACTCTCACGACCCCTAACAATGCACTTACATGACGGGGCACCTCTGGACCACATGCGACACGAACACGACCGGACATTGGCACAACAACTAGCAGACAACACTGACATTTTACGGGGCGTGCAATGACAGAAGACGCCTTCAAATTTGGGAAAGGATATGCATTAACGAACAACCCTAAACAGACAAACAACTTCTTGCACAACTCGTGAACTATTTGGTGGTGGCGGTCACCAGTATTGATGTGATTGTGGCCATAGTGTTCTCATTGCGTCTTTGAAGTGTTCCTGCTATGAGTGTATCTTATATGCATTAAAGTGAAAATAGGATTCTGTCTTACTTCAATGAGACCTGCTGCATTTGTGTTCTCTGGACCAACAGATGTTTTCCAATAGAAGTGCACGATTGTTGTCTTTTCCAACTCGAAACCTATTTCTTGTGCTATTCAGTCTTCTCCGACGATGAGATATGATTTTGAAACCTTAGAATGTAAAGATCGACGAATATCTGAGAAATTTTGTGCGAACCATCTTTAATCTAAGCGATGATGCCAAGTCAAAAGCCCGGAAACCACAACGATGCGTCAAAAAGCTCGCCAATGCTGAGTCAGCAATGGTATTTAATCAAACAGGTATAAAAGAAAGGATTCTGCCAAAATATTCCAACCTATCTATCTATCTATCTATCTATCTATCTATCTATCTATCTATCTATCTATATATCTATCTATCTATATATATATAGATATAGATATAGATATAGATATAGATATAGATATAGATATAGATATATATATATATATATATATCTATCGATCTATCTATCTATCTATCTATCTATATATAT